TCTATTGGAAATCTTATCGGTGGAGGTTTAATACAGTTAGAGACCTTGCTGATGGTGTTGGAATTTCAAAAGGATCGGTCAATTCCACTTTGGGCCTCAAACGCGTCAAATCTCGATTGGTACCGAAAACACTGAATACACCAGCTCACACTACATTGATTCTTCGTGAATTTTCGCCAAAAATGAAACCCATATCGTTCCACAACCACCGTATTCACACCGTGCGACTTCTGACTATTTCCTAAACTCAAACGATCACTCCGGGGACACCGTTTTGAGTCGATTGAAGAGATTCAACGTGAATCACCGCGCGCTTTGAAGGCCATCCCTGCCGATGACTTTTAGCATGCATTGAGGATTGGAAAAAAAGTTGGCATAAACGCATTGTGTCCGGAGGGGATTTTACTAATATTTGAAGGCGATGAATTAAATTTGGAAGAATAAATACAGAGTTTTTTGAAAAAAAAAAAATAATTGGTCCTACTTTTTGGGCACTGTAGTATTTAGAATACGTTCAAACTGCATGAACTGAAGTTCGTATAATGCCGAAAATACGGATTCGATACTGCTCGAACAGTTCGAAGTGGATGAAAATGAATGATTCCTTCCATTTATGCGGATCATACGGATTCGTCCCATCACTAATATGATCAGTTAAAAAACCAAGATTTGCTATTTTTTCACGCTTTGATTTTACATATTCATGCAAACAATCTGTTTCAAGCATGAATCTTATCAAAAGTAAATTCTCACCAAACCTTTTCGCTGATCTTTAGAAAAATTTACACATCACCCCTTCCTCTCTCATTCCCAATTTTCATCCCTTTGATAAACACGATAAAAATTTTTCATCTCGATGATTTACCCTTTCAAACCAAGCAACTCCCACACCATTTAATCAAGAATCTTTTCGAACAATATAAAGAGGAAACTTGGAAAAATAAAGTCATTTTAGCCACGGATGCATCCAAATCTCCCGCCAAACACTCAATTTCTTGTATTAATTTTGTCTCTCAAGAAAATTCATCTGGGACGATCTCAAATTACAATAATATTTTACAGGAGAAACTCTCGCACTGATTTTATCAATTTCCACATATGTACTCAAATTACGTCATTGCATTATTTTATCAGATAGTCCCTCTGCTCTTCGAGCTCTCCAAAACTGTAATTTTAAATCCACAAGAGTCACCAAACTGCTAGGAAATCAAATCAAACAAAACTTAAATTCCATTTTATCTTTACAATTCATTTGGACTCCAGGTCACGTTGGCATACAGGAAAATGAACAAGCAGACTCCTTAGCAAAAACCGCGTCAGATACAATAATTTTAAATTGGATTTCTCGGAAGACATCATCTACCATCAAAAAAGAAAATATTTCAAACTTCAAATGAACAATGGAACAAAGGTGAATACGCACTCTATCTATTGCATTTAAATAGTATCAAACCAATTCATCGTCTTTTACCTATCAATAGAAAAGAAGAGGTACTAATTTCAAGATTTCGCACCAAAACATATCCTTCTACAGCCAGACTCCATAGATTCGATTAACGTCTTCTCCAATGTGCTCACGATGCAAAAACCTGAAACCGAAGAACACATTCTATTCCAATGTACTAAATATGAAGTACAAAGAGAAAAACTTAAGCAGGCTTTTGGACATAAAGTCCTCTCCTATTCTTGGTTATTTGATATGAGTGATGAGCCATATTACAAAACCGTTACACTAATTAATTTTCTAAGAAAAATTGCGTAGTTTTTTTTTTTTTTTTTTTTTTTCAGTGCAACTGTATGAGTATACTAACCTTACTGTATTATTTCGGGACAGAAGTACTGCACGACACCTCATTCCGGACCCTTCCATTTCATAATTTTGGAATCAGTTGAAATTCACTGATTAATTGAAAGTCTGTTTTACTTCGTATTTTTCTTTTTCATTTATTAATTCTTTTCCTCTGATTTCTTCTCAAGAGTAATTGGATAAATTGAGATAAAGCAACTAACGCGAGCATAAATCTCAAAATCACGTCAAGTCAAGCCAAAAGTAAATTGAGAAATCGTGAATGGCGAGAACTTGGAATCCTGTTTGAAATTAAAAACGACTTAAAAACCTGACTTATCCCAAACTTTCCAAGGAAATGAAAAGTCATTATAAAGGCGTGTTTTGTAATAATTTTTATTTTAATGTAAAAATATTTTTTGTCAATAAATAAGATTATTATTTTTATTAAGTTATAATAATAATAATAGTTTTTAAATAGTTTTAATAGTGTTATAGTTTTATTTAAGGCTTGTAGCTAGTTTAAAGTGACTCCTAAAAATATGGTTGGTGAAAAAAAAAAAAAAAAAATTGGCTTCCAAAAGAAATCTTAATCTTTGTACTGCTTATCTTTGACTCTTTTAACCGACGAGTTTGCCACTGACCTACCCTCTACCCACCACTGTATTATAGTAACATTGATGCACTAATAAAAATAATAACTTTAAAGATAAAAAAAAAAAAAAATTCCCACCACGTTCAAGATATTTATGTAAATACCATAATTTCATTTTATTCGTTGATTTTTTTTTTTCGGAACATCGGTTGACGTCATGTAACACCAATTTTTGGAGTTTAAAATTGAAGTAAATTGTCGACATACACAGGGTGGAAACAAATTTCATATATAGATTGTAAGGCAGGGGGAGATGATAACCACCAAAAAAGGGCTACAAAAACCGAAAGCGACTCAATAATTATAATGAAAGCATGGCAATGGGATTATTCCAGTTCTCACTAATATTCAGTAATAAAAGAATGTACTTAAAAAATGAATGGCATTGTGTGAAATTCATAGAAAATAAACCAACACTAGCGTCCCCTGAATTCACTGGTAGTCTTTTAAATGTTCTGACTTTCACAGTGTTTCAAAATATTGCATCCTGAGTAAGATGTTCTCTACTGCTGCACGTATACTGTCACTTTTAGATGTTCGTTACAGATCATCTTATGTTCCTTTCCTTACACTAATTAGTGTCGTGTCAATATAAACAATATCTTTTTATAAATATTTTTTTATTAAGATAACATACGATTGCACGATGGTTGCGTAAAATTTTATGCAATATTCTATATGCGTCCCTTGATAGGGGGTGTTTGTTGGTCTCTGCACCTGACCGGATGGGTATCCGATATGTCCAACGGAATGACCCGTTTCCAGTGAGTGCAGGTCATTTACCACAGCTGGGGGTGAAGGGGATATGTGTAGAAAGTATTTTAATTGGCAGGGGTCATAAAACACTTCGAGCCAGATGGCCAAGATATCAGTTCATCAAGACGGGGATTTGGATTTATGTACGGAGGTGCGTCTGCTCAACGGATATAGACTCTAATACGGAGTCGGCGATCGTCCCCGTGAAAAGGAACTATAAAATGGAGGTGATGGACATCACAGAAGAGGACAGGGAAGGAGGAACTCAGAGCGAGAGCAAGATGTTGGACGCCCTGAAAACAGCGGATGATAAAAGTAGGGAGAGCTGCCCCATCCCCCGTAATGAAGTGCTGGAGGGCCCAGATGTAGAAAGACTGACGCGGTCTCCAGTGACAAGGTCTAAGACAAGAGACTTCATGGCCGACTCAAGAGCCCCGTGTAGCCACGAAACTTTGAACGGTAGTGATAGACTTCATTCGTCATGATGCTTAGGCGCCTGATTCTCGATTTCAACCAGTTAGCTGGAGATCCCCCTGGCAGCAGCGTCATTTGAAAAAGAATGTTGCACAATCCATGCGACATGATGTGGACAAGACTTCCATGCTACCCGACTGAAAAGCATCAACTGATGTAAGTGACTTAATGCTTCTTATTACTGAACTCAAATTTTGAAAAAAAAAAAAATAATGCCCCTTTTCCCTGGCTGTTGCAAGTGCTGATTTGTAGAGACGATCCCCATATTATTTTAATTAGTAAATATAGATTTGTATTGGTGAAATTGTGCAAAAGAACAAACATTTTTTTATTGATGCATTATTCGAATTACACCATTACTTGATAATGTTAATTGAATGATTTTAATTCAAGCTTAACATTTGTAAATAATAATAAATTCACTTTTGTTTATATTTAAAATTATGAACTTGTTTGTGAATTATTTCATGTGAGTGTGTTTCCTTTTCCAATTATAAAGTCTCTGAAGGCATGCGAACTTGTTGGTTTAAAATGTGGTATGGGTTATTGCAGAATTTCATAATGGTTATCGTGTGTGTTAAGTAAACGGTGTAGCTAGTTGTTTCAGAATCGGTTTATTTGTTTAATTTAAGGTTTTAAAAGAATGACAACATCACATAAAAATTGGTGCCTGTTTCAGGATTCGGGTTATTGTTTATTTAAGGTTTTAAAATAATAAGATGCATCACATAAAAATTGGTGCCGTGTCCTACATTCAAAAATTTATTGACTTATATTTGTAGAGGAACACATGCTTGTGATATAAATGTTTTAATATGTGTATAAATTTGCAATTTAGGTTTTCAAACAAATTCCTGTTTATTTTCGCGACAATAAGTATTTATCTCCATTTTCATATGTGTTTTTGTATATATATGTATCTGTTTAAATGATAAATGTTTTTTTATTTCTTATCAGCGATGAATTTTTATATTTCTGCAAATATTTTAAAATTATGGGTATTTTCTTAATTATCGTATTTTATATATATTCTTTAAAAACTAATTGCTTTGCTTCAAATTTTATATCGAAAGAAAAACAAAAATTATTATAATTTTTTTTTTTTGATAACATGTTTTTTTTTTTTTTTTTTTTTTTTTTTCTGCATATTAACCTACAGATATTTTTTTTATAGATTGGATTTTCCTTTTTCTTTAAATGTTTTATTATGTGTTTTTTTTTTTTTGTCAGTTATATCTCTCTAATTTTTATATACATATTTAATATTTTTATATATAATAATTTGTGATGTGTTCATTTTCATAGACATTTCTCTCTCTATATATATTTGCCATACCATGCTGAATATACCGGTTCTCGTTCGATCAAGCATCATCGGGCGCGGTCAGTACTTGGGAGGGTGAAAACCTGGGAACTCGGCGTGCCGTTGGCATTCAAAATTTGGGAGCGCTCTGGCTCTCGGTGCCACAGGTTTCGGGTTCGAGTCCCGGCGGTGCCATGGATGTTTGTAGTGGTTCGGAATCGACTTTAAACCGTAGGTCCCGGTCCCTAATAGGATCGTAGAGCGTTGCGGGGGCATTGTTACTCCGCGTCCGTATCTTCAAGTGACACGCGCCCCCTGGGTAATGCAAAGTGAGTAATGTCTGTGCAGCCCTTTAGTCTGTGTTGCCTTAAGGCACCCAAGACCAAGTTGTGTAAGTGTTTGTCAGCTGCATTGGAACCAAAAAAATGTATATATGTTTGATATTATTTTATGATGTGTTTGTTTAATATTTTTTTTTTTTTTTGCCTTTGTTTTAAAGGGAATTGAAACTGCTGACATGTGCGCATCGCGAGATCTTTCTGCATTTTTTTTTTTTTTCTTTTTTTTTTTTCTGGAGTGGGACCGTTGGTATTGTAAGTTCCCAACTGGGTAAGTTGAGAAGAGGGAAGCCCCCATAGATAACGCTCTCCTCCACGGAGCGGACACTGAATGAGATGTCGTTTGCCTTAAGTTTATGGCGTTACTACTTCATTGTAGGTTTCCCTCTGGCGTTAGAGGAATTGACCAACGTTCGCGCATTGTCCTTCCCTTCGAATTTTGTTACTTTTATTACTTTATGGTTTCAAAAATACACTCCTTTAATGAGTATCCTTTGTGGATAACTCGTTCCTTTCAGATGAGTCGTGTGAGTGGTAGATCAAATTCAGTAGCTATTTTTGAGTGTTTTTGCTTTTGTAGAAGGGAATTGGTGCGGTTGCTTATCGCTTGGTTGGAATCGGTTTGCACAAGTTAATTGACAGTTCCAACTTGTAAATAGTTCTTTTTCTTAGCGTCTTTTGGAGTAAATAGGTTCAATCTGTTATAATGAGTTGTTTATTGTCCTGTCAGAAATGTTTTGTTCTTTATATATGTTTATTTATTTTTCCCCGGCTTCCTAACTTTTATGACTTAGTATCCTTTTCCAAATTCAAGGATTATTGTTTTTTTTTTTTTTTTTTTTTGTAATGATTGCCCGCATTACTTATTTCAAATTGTTTCTTCAGGGCAATTAGTATATCGATTCAGTTATAGAGTTGCGGTTAACAGCTAGTCAGATTTCCAGTCAATTTGTTGCTTGTTTGTTGCAAACGTTTATTTTTTTATGTTCATGATAACTTTGTACCCTAATTTATAAGTTCACTAAAATTTTTTTGGGCTTAGTATAATAAGGGATTTTGCACCTATCAAAAGGAAGGGAAATTGTTTTGCTCCCCTTTTATTTACAAGATTGCTTTATTGGAATTGTAGAGGTATTGTGTTTTTGTTTTTAGTATTATGAAGTTTTTTGTACTTGAGAATAGGGAGGTTAGTTCGATTTATATTTGATTGTAGAGTTTTGATGTGTTAGGCTTCTTTTTTGTAGTGCTTAATTCGTAGCGCAAAATCTCCGTTTGACTATGCAATATTCTGTCAGCGGAGTTTTCCTACATTTTAGAGAGACTTATAAGATTGTTAGTTTAATAAATATATAAAGAGAGCAATTGCGTTGGTATTAAGGGAAGTCAACTCAATTTTTTTGTCTAAGAGGATGTTTTATTGCCGTTTTGAAACTGGGATCTTTGTTTTTTCGTGGCATATATTAAAATTGGTTCTCAGGTGCAGTTGTTTTTGTTTAAGGGAAAATTGACGGACGGTATGTAAATTGTTTTTCTTTTTCTTGTATAAAACGAATTTTTGCAGTTTCATAGTACCTATGTGTATTTGATGTCTATATAAATATAATCTTAGAAAATTCAATGTGTTTGTAATAATAATTGCCTCCCTGGGAAAATTAATCAAAAAAAAAAAAAAAAATTTCTATAAAAATTTTTTTTATCCCAGGCGGTTGGATATTTGTCGGGTCAATATAAGCAATATCTTTTTATAAATTTTTTTTTATTAAGATAACATATGAATGTACAATGGTTGTGTAAAATTTTATGCAATATTCTACATGCGTCCCTTGATAGGGGTGTTTGTTGGTCTCTGCACCTGACCGGATCGGTATCCGGTATGTCCAACGGAATGACCCGTTTCCGGTGAGTGCAGGTCATTCACCACAGCTGGGGGTGAAGGGAATATCTGTGGAAAGTATTTTAATTGGCAGGGGTCATAAGACATTTCGGCCTAGATGGCCAAGAAATCAGTTCATCAAGACGGGGATTTCGATTTATGGACAGGGGTGCGTCTGCCCAACGGATATGTTGTTGTTGCTTATCCCCTTGATTTAAAATCCTAAACCAAGTCCAGTAGATCATGCTGCATCAATAGATCGTAAACTGTCCTCCCCTCATTCAACAGTTGCCTCACAGAGGCACCAATACAATCGATGAAATGAGAGGGAGACGCGATGGCCGAACAATGACAAAGGGTATATGTCTTCTCGTCTCCATTGAAGGTCAAACTCTTAGTGTGGCCAGTCCTTAGTCTAGCTAAAGCCGTTTGAGCAGGTCTAGGACAGAAGCACTGCAAGGACATACCAGGGTATTTAGCGGCGTACCATTCATGAATTGGTGGCGACCTGCAAGAGGTATTCACTCTGGCTAAAGTCATGGAATGAACCTCTGAAGCTAACAGATTGGAAGAAGAAGCTCTGGGAAGTTCGCAACCTTCCCTAGAGAGCAGATCAGCAATTTCATTTCTATAGATGCCCACATGGGAGGGAATCCACTGCAAGCACACCGATCCGATCTGGTCCAAAACAGCTAGTTTAGAAACTATATCCTACCCAATTTGTCCAAGATGCTTGGCCAATCTCTCAAATACTGTATTGAGCTCTTACTATCAGTCAGAATCCAAACATCAGGTACTTTAAAGTCTAAAGCTAGGCTCAGAGCTTCGCTTATAGCAGTTAATTCTGAGTGGAATACTGAGCTGTGGTCCGGGTTTCTAAAACGATATCTAAATTCTCCTGTATTTGTCTTCATAAAAATTCCGCTACCTGTTCTTCCAGAGTCAGATTTGCTGCGATCAGTGTAAATAACTAGGGCCCGAGGAGAAATATTATTGATGATCTCGAGAGCCAACTGACGCAGCAACTCCGGGTGTTCTTCGTGTTTGATAAATTTCACTTTCAAGTCTTCATTAAAAGTTACATTACTAAGTACAGTAGTAGGTGTCAGTAGATTGAAAGGAACACTGGGCTCGACTTCAATATCTGCCAATCCCTGCTTCCATATTAAACCCAAAAGCTGTCCTTTTTTAATCTTTGGTTATTCGCCCAGTCCGATAAAAGGTTAGATGATCTGTTATAAGGCTTAAAACTCTTTAGCTTTGAAACGTACTTCGCCATATTTATTTCTCTTCTCAAGGAGAGGGGCTGAAGATCAGCCTCATAACAAGCAATATCATTAGGACAACTGTGCCTGAGACCAGTGATAATTCTGGCAGCACTAAATTGTATTCTCTCTAGTTTTTTAGGTTAGTATTTGCAGCAACTTGATAGATCTGGTAGCCATATTCAAGGATTGGCCTTATAAGAGCAGTATAAGTGATCTTGAGTGTGCCTGCATCGGCTCCCCAATCTCTTCCAGAAATGTATTTTAGTAGTTGAAGCCTTTTCCTACCCTTCTCACAGAGTCTGTTAATGTGCTTACTACAGTTAATTTCAGTATCTAGAGTAAACCCTAGATAGGTCGGAGTTTTAGTAGATTCTAGTAATTGTCCCTTTAGAAATATTTTTGGCTGATAGTTGAACAAGTGTCTGTTAGTTGTGAAGAGGGAACTTATAGATTTGGTTGTGTTAAAAGCCAATTTATGCTCATCTGCAAAGTGTTGAATTTTCTCCAAGGTGTCGTTGAGTGTAGTTTCTAGTTTAGTTAAATCCGAATTGTGGTCCCAAACGATAATGTCATCAGCAAAGATGCCTATTTGACAAGGGGAGACAACTCTCTCGATACCAGTCAAATATAATGAAAAGAGGGTGGGGCTCAAAACTGAACCTTGTGGGATTCCTTGATATGTTTTAAAAATTTCGGACAAGCTGTTCTGATATCTCACTCGAAAAGATCTGTTTTTCATAAAATCTGAAAGCCATGGGAGGGCACGACCCTTGATATCAAACTCTGAAAAGCATTTCCCCAGTAGCTTATTTTTCCAAACTTTATCAAAAGCCTTAGTGAGGTCGAGAAATACGGCCATAGTGTGTCAGGAATGCTTCATATTGTGTGCATCCCTAACCCGTTGGACAAAGTAGAGTATTTGGTCGATTGTACTATGTCCCTTGCGAAACCCATATTGTTCTTGTGGCAGCATGTTACGGTTCATGAGATGAAAAGTAATTCTCCTCAGGATAATTCTCTCCATAAGTTTACACGTCATCATGCAAGTGAGTGCAATTGGTCGATAGCTTCCCATGCAACTAGCATCCTTATTTGGCTTACGAATGGGAACAACAATCGCAGTTTTCCATTGCCTAGGTAATCTACCCAGTTTCCATGATAAATTAAAAATATGCAGGAGTCATTTAGTTGCACATCATCCAAGATTTACTATAAATTGTCCATGTATACCATCAGGTCCCGGTGATTTCTTGAAGTCTAATTGCTGGATGGCATAAAGTAGTTCTGAAGAAGTAATTGGATCATTAAATAGTTAATTTCTGGCTGGAACCCTGCAGGATCTGATTAGTTTTCTGGTCGCTCTGCCAGTCTTTTTGTTCTCCCTTCCTAAGGCCAATTTGCTTTCTTCAGAATAGTAGTTTCCCAATGCATCTGCAGCTTCTTTGTCATTTACAGTGGGAATTCCATTGATACCAATGATAGAATTTGTATTTTCCACCTGTGGTTGTATTTTGTCTAGTTTTTTGGCTAATCGCCAAAGTCTGGTATTAGGAGTTTTATAATCCAAGCAAAAATTTTTGAATGCCAACGGCACGCGGTGTTCCCAGGTGGTCACCCTCCCAAGTACTGACCACGCCCGATGATGC